CCTCTGGGGCCTCTGGGGGTCAGGAACCGGAGTGGGGGTAAAGCTTACCAGGGAGGGGATGGAGGAGGGGGAAATGAGGGCATCAGGGGGGAGTGAGGCAAGGGGCCGCTCTTCCCTCATATTCCTCCTCCTCCTCCTCCTCCTCCTCCTCCTCGTCCTCCTCTTCCTCTTCCTTCCTCTTCCTCCTCCTCCTCCTCCTCCTCCTCCTCCTCCTCCTCCTCCTCCTCCTCCTCCTCCTCCTCTCCTCCTCCTCCTCTCCTCCTCCTCCTCCTCCTCCTCCTCCTCCTCCTCCTCCTCCTCCTCCTCCTCCTCCTCCTCCTCCTCCTCCTCCTCCTCCTCCTCCTCCTCCTCCTCCTCCTCCTCCTCCTCCTCCTCCTCCTCCTCCTCCTCCTCCTCCTCCTCCTCCTCCTCCTCCTCCTCTCATTCTCCTCTCATGAGACCACTCCTCCGCTCTCACCCCTCCTCTAGCTTCCTCCTTTACATCCTCCCTCCTCCTCCTCCAGCAGCAATATCGCTTACCTTATCCCCACTCCTCCCTTCCCTACTGTTCCTCCCACCCTGATCCTCCTCACGCTTCTTATCCATCTCCTCCTCCCCCGCTTCCTCCTCCGCCTCCGCCAACTCCTCCTCCTTTGTTCCTCCCCCTGCTCCTCCCTCCTCCCTATGCTCCTCCATCTCTCTCTCTCTCTCTCTCTCTCTCGTTCTCTCTCTTTCTCTCTCTCTCTCTCTCTCTCTCTCTCTCTCTCTCTTTCTCTCTCTCTCTCTCTCTCTCTCTCTACCTATATCTCAATATTTCTCTATTTCTCTTCCATACGTCTTCCTGATACATCACAAGACGCGTGAATAGGCATACCCGGGCGTTTCGCTTGAGACGTTATTGCAGCATGTTATCATGAGGCTGAAAACTCAACGGCTCCTCGGACGGCGGCCTGTACGTTTCCAACATGCGGCTCTCGACTAAGCACCACGCACATCCGTCTGAAAAGCATGCAAGCATTATTCTGATGGAAGCGAATCGGTTATCATCGTGTGGCCCTTGCCAAAGTTTGCCCAACCAATATTATAATGAGCTGAAGGGTTACACTAGCTTTACGAGTGGAACGGTTCCTCTCCAAAATAAGAATATCGCTTGCATTTCCGTTCGAGTCGGGTTTTTCCGCGATCGCAATCGTAATCGCAACGAGCGGGTCGGCGAACACAACACAACTTGCAAGCAAAAAGTGAAGACAGCTCGAACCTACCGTGGAGAGAGAGAGAGAGAAAGGGAGGCAGAGAGATTTGAGAGAGGCATGCAGCACCTCTCGCTCGCCTGACCGAAAAGGCGGCCGGCGGCCTCTGTTCGCGCAGGGAGGTGGGCCACGGTCCTCCTTCTACTCCACCTCCCCCGTGAGTGGCGTCGTCGTTAACTCCACCGGGGAGAACATGGTGGAGGGCGGAATCTGGGACGCTAACCGCGCACCCAAACGTGAAACTCGCACCCGAACGTGAAGCACGCGCCCGAGCGTGAAGCGCAGCGCTGAAAGGCAGGCAACGTTGAGCGTGGGGCATGCGGATCGCCCAAAATAGCAGCTTCATCAAATTCGTGATACCCATACTTTTAAGGAACCATAGCGAGATGAGACTGGACGCAAGCTTCGCTGTTTAGGACTTCGGATTGCCGGCTTCGCACTCTGCGCAAGGTGGGAAGCATAATCTGGCCTAAATGGGCCATCGCAGTTACGACAATTGCCGCGGGTGCTTCCCAGAGAACGTATAGCATGTCATGCTGGTGCCTCCCACCCTCCTCCTCGCCTGCTCCAGGGCTGGGCACTGCCTAGTGCAGGAGCTACGCGGCGCTTGTTTCAGCCCGCCTGTTGACCCTGCAGCGAGGGAAGGGGGACGATGGAGGACGATGTTAATGTCAGGACGAAGAAGGGAGGACAAGGGCGCCCACGCTCCTCCACACGAGGCTCCGCATCGAAAGGTGCGATGGATGTTCAATGGCGTGCAGGCGCCACGACCATCGAAAGGTACGATTTTCCATGTCGCGCAGGGAGCAATATGATCGAACTCCTGCCACAGCTCTGGAGGCTCAACCCTAAACAGCAGATGGCGCACATACGAGAAGAACATGACCCAAAGCTTCGCTGCTCAGCACTCCGCAGCGCACAGTCTGGCACTCTGCGCAACTCGGGAATGCACACTCTGGCCTAGACGGGCCATCGCCGTTACCACAAACTGCCGTGGGTGTTCCCCCGGAAGATCTATAGCACGCCGTCACCATCACTCCAATATCCCCCTATCCGTGTTCCTTATTAGAATATACCCCCACCTACGTCGCATTCCGGCCGATAGCGACCCAATCCGGGACCTCCCATCCGGACTGTAACAAATCAATACAAAGTGGCCGTTTTCCTTCTCAACATCGTCTTTCTCGTCGTCGACGATGCGAAAAGCGTGGCAGGAATGGGACGCGGCGCACATCGCGCGCGGCAGTCAATCTGGGGCCTCCCATCCTGACTGTAAGTAATCAATACAAAGTCTTCGTTTTTCCTCTCAGCATGGCCTGCCTTGTCGCCAACGATGCGAAAAATGTGGCAGCAATGGGACGCGGCGCACATATGGGACGCGGCGCACATCGCGCGCGGCCGTCAATCCGGGCCCGCCCATCCTGACTGTAAAAAATCAATACAAAGTCTCCGTTGTTTTCCTCTCAGCATGGCCTGCCTTGTCGCCGACGGTGCGAAATATGTGGCAGGAACGGGACGCGGCGCACATCGCGCGCGCGGACGTCCATGCGGGCTGTGGGCCCTCCCATCCTGACTGGAAAATACAATACAGAGTTGCCGTTTTTCCTTTCATCATGGCCTGTCTTGTCGTCGACGATGCGAAATGCGTGGCAGGAATGGGGCGCGGCGCACATCGCGCGCGGACTTCTGGGGGAACCCCAAGGCGGGAGGGGCCACCTTACTTATCAGAAACAGTGCCATGCTGATTTTCCCTGCCCACATACCTGTTCTTGTCGTCCACCCCGCAAAAGTGCATGGCAAGAAATGGGCGCGGCACGCCCCCCTCCCCCCCCGCTCGAAGTGAATGAAATGACCTTCTCGGTTGGGCGCCGAGCGAAATTTTCTCAAAATTGCGCTCCCGCTTTGGCTCGGCGCACGCGTTTAGCTCGCCAATTCATTGGGCGCCGGGGCGTTCCAGGAGGCCCTGGGGTGACGAATGCCTGGGAGGCTTTTGCTTGTTCAGGCTCTTGGAGGGCCTCCTGCGGCTCCCCGCGGCCTCTTGGCGCTACGGCCGTCTGGAGGCCATCTTGGGCGTCTTGGAACGATGTTTCGGCGACTCAGGGCTACTACGACTAGTACTACTACTACTACTACTACTACTACTACTACTACTACTACTACTACTACTACTACTACTACTACTACTACTACTACTACTACTACTACTACTACTACTACTACTACTACTACTACTACTACTACTACTACTACTACTACTACTACTACTACTACTACTACTACTACTACTACTACTACTACTACCACTACTACTACCTACTTACTACTACTACTATTACTACTACTACTACTACTACTACTACTACGACTACTACTACTACTACTACTACTACTACTACTACTACTACTACTACTACTACACACTACTACTACGACTACACTACTACGACTACTAACTACAAACTACTACTACTACACTACTACTATCATTACACCAAACATTAGTACTACTACTAAAATAAACTACTACTAACTACTACTACTACTACTACCACTACACTACAACTACTACTACTACTACTACTAACTACTACTGACTACTACTAACTACTACTAATTACTACTAACTACTACTAACTACTACTAACTACTACTAACTACTACTAACTACTACTAACTACTACTAACTACTACTAACTACTACTACCTACTACTAACTACTACTAACTACTGCTACTACTACTACTACTACTACTACTACTACTACTACGACGACTACGACTACTACTACTACTACTCGGACTAACTACTAACTACTGCTACTATACTACTACTACTATCTACCTACTACTACTACTACTACTACTACTACTACGATTTTCTATTAAGACTACTACTACTACTACTACTACTACTACTACTTCTACGACTAGGATTCTACTTCTACTACTACTACTACTACTACAGACTACTACAATACAACTACCTACTACTATTACTACGACGACGAAGACGAACGACGAGACGAGACGACGATCGACGACCGACGACGACGACGACGACTACTACTACTACTACTACTACTACTACTACTACTACTACTATTACTAACTACTACTACTACTACCACTACTACTACTACTACTACTACTACTACTACTACTACTACTACTACTACTACTACTACTACTACTACGCGCCAGCACCCAGTTGCGCCAGCAGTGTTTTTGTTTATGTTGTGGGAGGGCGGAAAGTGTCCGTTGTTCCTTTCAACATGGCCAGTCTTGTCGTCGACGATGCGAAATGCGTGGCGGGAATGGGGCGCGGCGCACATCCCGCGCGGACGTCAATGCGGTGTCCTGGGGTATCCTCCACTCGCACTGAAATGCCCGCGCAGCCCCCAGTTGTGCCATCACTGATTCTTATGTTGTGGGAGGGCGGGTGGGAATGGGCATGCCATGCTTGACTCGCTCGAGCTGGCTAGCTTGACCCCCCCCTACAGGTAGACCCTGCCAGGCGCAAGAGCCCTGCGCGGAGCTTGCTTCAGCCCGCCCGATGAACCCTGCCGCGAGGGAGGGGGACGAAGGAGGAAGTACTTAAGCACATGCAAATAGGAGGATAAAGGGGGCAGATAGGACGCAGGGGACGCAACTGTGCCTCGCTCCAGGCACGCTTTACAAAACAGGCCCTGCTCTCCTTACGTGTGCCTCCCCTACCCCCCTCCTCCCTCCCGCCTTTCCCCGACCCACGGGAGATGTCCGCGGCTCAGAACTCCAAGTAATCAAGGTTCCGGCGGCCCCAGGCGGCCCGCAGCGCCGCCTCCGCCCCGTCGCCGCCGATGCCATTGCCCGAGAGGTCCAGATACTCCAGGCCGAGCGTGGAGGGCAACGCCTGTGCCAGGGCCTCCGCCCCGTCGCCGCCGATGCCCTTGTCCTGCAGGTACAGCTCCTCCAGGCGGGGCGCGGAGGGCAGCGTCCGTGCCAGGGACTCCCAGCCCGCGGGGCCGACATTGCATCTGCGCAGGTCCAGCTTCTCCAGGCGGGCGCACAGCCGCAGGCAGCCGCCAAGCCCCGCGACCTGCTCGGGGGTCGGGGGCGGCATCCCTTCGAATTCGAGCCTCGCAGGGCCCACTGGCCAGCACCTGCCAGCCGCTGGCGCTCCCGCTCCCTGCCCCAGGTCGGCCACCGCGGACCAATGCGTTTCGAAACGGTACACCCGCTTGATCTGCTCAGCGGATCACCGCTCGTACGTCGTCCACCCCGACTGGTCGTAGCCGCACTCGCGCGTGCTACCCCACTCCCGGAGATGCTGCGTCAGCAGGAAGACAGTTCTGGCCTGGTGGGCGTACCAGAGGTCGATCGTCTCGTGCAAGACGTGCTTGAACGCAGCTTTCTCGGCGGGCGTGCGCTTGGCATCGTCCGCGGCCTCCTGGGCATGCGCTTCGCTCTTGCCCTCCCGCAGGGCGGCGGCCTTCGCCTACTGGGCCTTGTCGGGGTCGCCGTGCAGCAGCGAGGGACAGTCCCAGCAGACGCCCATCTCGCTGAACCCCGCGAATTCGCCATCGGTTTGGGAGTATGTGCCGCGCTCTTGCTCCAAAGTGGCTATCACCAAATTCATCTGCAACCCCTCGGGGTCGGGGTGCTCGCGCGCATCCCAGCAGAATGACATGGCGATCATCGGCGCAACCTTGCCGCATCCTCCTCGTCCGCCCGCCTCCCAGTCGGCGCGGAGCTCTTCGCTGACACGAAGACCTCCTCCTCGGGCAGCTCCTGGCGTCTCCTCAGGACCGAGCCACGCTGCTGCAGCAGCCACGACATGCGGACCAGGCGAACGGAATGTTGGCCCTCGACAGTGCACGCGAGCGCGTCGAACAAGTCCTCCGCGTCCGTGTACTGGGCCACCTCCTTGCGCTGGTAGAGCGCCATGCAGCACCCTATCGTGATGGCGCGGCAACCTGCTGGCCAGGCGATTTGAAGTTTGCAACAAAATGCTGGGCCTTGATGCGCGGAAGTGGTTTGAGCCAAAATGGCTACGGAGGGCTTTTCCGTTGGAGTCGTCGTCTCCGTCCTCCTCTGTTCGATTTGCCTGGGCCCTCTTCCTAATACGCGCCGTCCAAAGCAAAATTGAACAACATAGGAGTGGAATCGAAGGAAAGCCCCTTCCCTTCGATCCCTTCACCGCGCTGGGGGGGAGGTCCTTCAGGGTCGGCGGCACCGGCTGTAAGGCCTTCGCAATAGGGTTCTCGCTTTGGAGGGCGTTTCCTTGTCAAGAAATGTGGTATCGCATGAGCCGTCCTTAAACTGAATGACCAGAAGTGTAAAAATGCGCATCAATTACCTGAGTGTGGGGCGGTACCTCTCCAAAACAAGACTTTCGCTGAACACACCGTAGAACTGTCTGATCCTACCTCTGGCACAATCCTTCTAACTCTCTTGAAGGATGCACGGCAGCTCCTTTTTCTCCAAAGGGGACACTCGCCTTGATAGACAGGCCCGTGCGGTGCTCGTCTTTAAAGAGGGCGCTTCTTGTAGTCGATAAGGCACGCGAGAAGGGACTTATGAGAAGGGAGCTTGGGAGGGGGGGGGGATTGCAGCATCGGTGCTACAAGTTGGATAGACACTGCTCCTCTTCTTCCTCCTCATCGTCGTCGTCAGCATCAGCATCAACAGCATCATCATCATCATCATCAGCAGCACCATCATCATCATCATCATCATCAGCAGCAGCAGCATCATCATCACCAGCATCATCACCATCATTATCCCCATCGCCACCATCGTCGGCAGTTTGATCCTCATCGTCATCATCATCAGCATCATCCTGAGCATATCATCAGCATCGCCATCATCAGCATCAGCATCATCATCAGCATCATCAGCATCGCCATCGTCACCACCATCATCATCGATATCGTCAGCGTCACCGTTACCATCAGCAGCACCATCATCAGCAGCACCTTCGCCACCATCATCAGAATCCAGATCATCACCAGCATCATCAGCATCATCATCATCATCATCATCATCATCATCATCATCATCATCATCATCATCGTCATCGTCATCGTCATCACCATCATCATCATCATCATATCATCATCATCATCATCATCATCATCATCATCATCATCATCATCATCATCATTATCATCATCATCATCAACATGAACATCGTCAGCATCATCACCATATTCAGCGTCAGATACATCATCATCGTCATCAGCAGCAGCAGTAGCATCATAATCATCATCATCATCATCAGCATCATCATCATCAGCATCATCCTGAGCATATCATCATCATCGCCATCCTCAACATCAGCATCATCATCAGCATCATCAGCATCGCCATCTTCACCACCATCGTCATCGAAATCGTCAGCGTCACCGTTACCATCAGCAGCACCATCATCAGCAGCACCTCCGCCACCATCATCAGAATCCAGATCATCACCAGCATCATCATCAACACCACCCTCATCATCATCATCATCATCATCATCATCATCATCATCATCATCATCATCATCATCATCATTTACAACATCGTCAGCATCATCACCATATTCAGCGTCAGATACATCATCGTCATCAGCAGCAGCAGTAGCATCAGAATCATCATCATCAGCAGCAGCAGCAGCATCGTCATGATCATCAGCATCAGCATCATCGTCTTCGACCTCCTCCTCCTCCTCCGCATCGTCACCACCACTACCATCGTCTGCATCATCATCAAAATCAGCATCATCATCCGCATAAGCATCAGAATCTTTGTCATCCTCATCGACGGCATCGTCGTCATCGCCATCGTCATCACCATCGTCATCATCATGAGCAGCAGCAACAAGAAAAGCAGCAGCAACTGCATAGACAACAACACTACCAATCATGTTGATACTGCTTGCTCTCACCGGCTCGCGTGCCATGCAACACGTATATCCCAAACCCTCGATAATCGAAAACCCACCCTCTTCGTTTTCGATCGTACCCAGTTGGGGGAACGTCTTCCTTACATGCCACGTGATATAAGTGCATCTCATAAGACAAGGGAAAAGAGGACGCATGGATTGTGGAGGGAGAAGGATTGAGCACGAGAGAGACTAGTAGGAAAAAAAAAAAAAAAAAAAAAAAAAAAAAAAAAAAAAAGAAAAAAACGGGAAAAACAAAAGTAAAGGAGACAAAAGGTAAGAGGAAGCATTAGAAATTAAAAACAGATACACAAGTGAGAGTACGTTTCCGCACTCCCGCTCCCTCGCCAGAATTAGATCCCCAACCGGCACCCATTCTCTACACAACCCCACCATATAGCTATGAATACCCGGACGCCCCACCGTCGCCATATAGGCAGAAATCACGCGGCAGAACTAGACGGGCTGATCGCGCGGTAACCCTAACGGGCGGGTCGGGAAGGCGAGCCCAGGCGCAGCCGGGTCAAGCGGGCGGGTTGCTGAAGCGTGAGTCCTTCATGGATCGCGAAAAGTTATGAGCGATGGCGCGATTCCTTAGTCCCACCAGCCCTTTGGGCGTGAGTGGTTTAGGGAGCTCTCTCTGTTCTCAACCCCCTTTCTTCCCCTTCGGGGAGGGGTTTACCCCTCCCCCTACCCCCTCCCCTGGACCTGGAGAGGGCGGGCCGAGCGTTCTCAGGGGGGTCCATTTCGATTCCTGGGAGGGCCAAAAAACGACGACCCTCACGAGGATTCTGGCCCCGAGAGGGGGGGGGGGGGGAGTTTGGCCCCTCTGCTCGTCTTTGAAGCAGAAATCATTGATTGTACGAAGGTTTTGGCCCCATTTTGGCCTTCTGAGGGGGCCGCGCTCATCTTCCCTCATAGCAAAATCATTGATAGGACGTCACAAGCTGTTTTCAAAGCGGAGACCCTGATGAACGAACAGCCACGCGTCCTGGCGCTCAGCTGTGAGGCCAACTTCAACCTTAGAGAGAAAAACGAGACGGCACTGCATGTGCGTGGATCGGGATTGTGCATGTCCGAGAGGGTTCGGGGGGGCGGGGGACCAGAGAAGCTCAAAGTAGGAAAATAAAGCCAGATGGCAACAGAGGCAAGAGGAAGCTCGCCAAAAACATGATCTACCACGGCAGGTTGCATCATCATCAAGAGGCGACTCATGCTCTGTGAAGCCAATGGGCGACAAACAGACAACAACTCGAGACTTCCTTCACGTGCAAGCACAAACCAGGACGTCACAAGCTGTTTTCAAAGCGGAGACCCTGATGAACGAACAGCCACGCGTCCTGGCGCTCAGCTGTGAGGCCAACTTCAACCCAAGCCGTACCCAAAGACGTTTACTGGGAGGGCGGGCTAGGGCGATTATACAGGGACGCGCGCCACTCGCTCAAAAGTATTCTGGCCAGCTTCCTATAGAGGGCGGGCGGATAGGCAGCAGCGATAGCGGTCCATTTCGCACCATTCGGGGCGTTGCCCTCAAGCACGATGTGTTGACGGCCAGACTTGCTACAGATTCCGTTGATCTGATTACACCGACGATCGAGACAGCTGCTATCATGGACATCTATGTTCAGACACAAGAATCTCGCTCGCTTGCGCCAACGAGCACCTTCCTGGCACTGGTCGAGACATCTTACTACGGCCCCCCGATCTATAAACCCCTGAACCTCTCTCGTGACAAAAACGCGTGAATTCACAGGATGCTCGAGTATACAGGGAACTCTGAACTTCTCGCAACATTTGATGACAGACAGCGCGGCACGCATGGTCTTATTGCCAGACGCCAGGCGAGCAAGCTGCTTTGCACTCAGAAGATGCTGCGGGAGCCCCCAGGGCTGCGACGCCGAACGGATGGCCCCCACTCGGTCGGCAGCGGTGGTCCAGGGCCCACAAGGCGGTGCCAGCATCACGGCCGAGACGCGGCCTGCAGCGATGTCGGAGCACAAGCCTCGCAAGACCTTTCGTCGGGTAAGGTCGCCGCCTGGCCCGTGCAGCGTGTCCCAGAACCTGGCTGGCACGCCCATTGCCATTGCGGCGCGCCCAACGCCTCCCTTGCCACTGAAGCAGTCGGCCAGGTATTGGCCAGTCAGGCGTGGTCGAGCTCCCGCAAGTCGACCGGCGAGGCGCGACCCAAAATGATGTCCGCGAGCTGAGCCTCGCAGACCAGGAACACGTTTTGCTGCGCGCTGCTCAGGGTCGCCCACGTGGCTGCCAGGCGTGCATGCTTCTCGTAGCGGACGACGCTGCGGTTGGTTTTCCACTGTCCGCGCTTCTGCACGTCGGCCAGCCGCCTCCACCTCCTTGCCATGTCTATCGAGGCCCCTGAGTGGCGCATCTGATACGGCACCACCTTGGCCTTTACCTGCAGGTCCTGGAGGCATAGGCTGAACATCTTGCAGTACTCTGGGTACGTGAAGTTCCACAGGCACTCGGGGTGCCCCTCCTTCTTCATCTGACGCAGCACGGGGTCCAAGAAGCGAATCCAGGGCGAGTCTAACTCTAGCGACACGTCCCCCAGGCCCGTCTTGCCCCGCAGGTCCTCCTCCTCCGGGAAGAGCCTCAAGGTCCAGAACTCGCACACCCCCGCCGTCGGCGGCACCAGGCAGGCCGGCTTCAGAAGCAAAAGGCTGCTGGGGCGGGCGTACACGCTCACCGCTATCAGAGTGAACACCGCCATCTGGAGGCTGCCACGGGCCTTCATGCGCCACGCCATTGCGCACCACAGCGCCAGCGCCCACGGCTTCCTCGTCCGCGGCGGCTCCAGGCGCCGCCAGGCCCGGAGGCATCTCCAGCCCCGGGGGAGGCGCCGGGCACCGTAGCGCGAGAAGTCGGGGTTGGAGTGCAGGACGCCAGCCATCAACTTCTCGGCCCAGGAGAGGTGAGTCCCAGCCTGGTACAAGCCGTTCAGGTAGCTCACCAACGCCGAGTCTACCACGGAGTCGCCCCTGCTCTTCATGACCTCGTCGATGTCCACCGAGGGCCAGCTCCGACGGGCAAAGTCCCGCCATCCGTCCCAGGCCCTCTGGTACTCGCGCTGCGTCGGGGTTCGCACGGCCCCCCGCTCCAGGAGAGAGAAGCCCTCCTCGCCGGTGGGCATCCCGTAGTGGCGGGCTCGGCGCTTCCGCGACTGCGCGAGCCTGCGCTGCCGCGCGGCGCCGGTCACGACCTCGGGCTCGGAGCTCCCGCTGTCGGAGGAGCCGACGCTCTCTCGCGCTCCCCGCGCGGGCTCCGCTGGCACAGGCACCTTTGTCAGGTCCTCCACCACTCGCCCCAGGCTCCGCGGCAGGGGACGGCTCAGCACAGCCGTCTTCAGGAGCCCCGACTCGCCCAGCTGACGCTCCCGCCGAGCTGCCGGCAGCGGCTGCGGCGCTATCGGCGGCGCAGGGACAAGCTGCCGCGTGCGCCTCGCCTCCTGGCCGCGGGCTGACGGCTGCAGGCCAGGCTCCGGGCGAGACGGCGCCAGCTGCCGCGTGCGCCGGCGGCCCGTCTCGAGCCTCGCGTCTCGCCTGGCCTGCTGGGGGCTCCGAGAGCGGCCCCGCCCGTCTGGCGCTTGAGGGCGCGCAGGCAGCATCGCGGGCCGCGGCGCCATCGGCCGCCCGCTCGGGCGCGGCCCAGGCGGGAACCCGCCCTGGGCGCGCCTGGGAGCTCTCGAGTTCCAACAGCTCAGCCAGAAGGGTGGAATTTGCGCCGTCAGGATCAAATAGCCGTGAGGGAAGGTCGGCGCAGTTGAGCTCACTGGGTATCCAACGAATCGAACAACGAATGTTTCGGCTTAGACAGACAGCGTGAAATCGACGAATCTGAACCAACAAGTTGAAACACGAGCTCCTTCCCCGATTGAAGCTTAGCACGACCGACATATTGTCACAGAGCAGTAACTGACGTATATGGGACCCAAAGACCGTGGTGGCGATACGATGGATGCTGCTGACCAGGGCTCGGGCCTCCAAGGTCAAGATGCCCTCAGGGTGCTGCCAGGCTCTCGCGAAACAGGGCTCCCACAGGCCTGCGCGGAGCCCCTGGGCGGGCACCTCCGGGAAGTCCCTCACAACGTCCCACTGGCCCAGCTCCTCCTCATCTTCGGGAAGGCCCTTGAGTTCCCATTTTCCACTCTCACTCATACCGAAGCCAGCTGCACAGAGCGCAACCTCTCGAGCACTGCGCGCGCAGCGCCGGCGAAAGCGGGCCCGCTCAGGCACGCGCCCGACTGACTCCACCAGCTCCTGCGGCCAGAAAGCCCTTGCCAGTCCGTAGCCGTGAAGACTGGCATCTGACTGCTGCGCCATCGGATTCCAAGGCAGCCACCAATCGGACTCCAGGAAGTACATCAGGGAGCTGAAGGCGGCCAGCTCTCGCCGCGCCTCGGCCCATAGCACGGCCGCCTCGTCATAGTGGGCTCGCACAAAGCCGTGCACTGAATTGAAAGCTGACAAGGTGCCGCGCGAGCAGAGGCCACAAAAGGTTAGGTGGCCCAGCACTGCCTCCACGGCCCAGCCCTTGACACGGCGGCGGGCTAGGAGGCCCCGCACGGCCTGGCGGCAGCGCCAGAACCGATCACTGGTCACTCGAGTGCGCAACTGGCTGCCGTCGATCTCCGTGCCAAGCGCCACTGCCATGCCCGGCACCAGCTCGTCCTTGTGCAACAGTAGGTTCAGCTCGGTGAACTCGCCCGTCAGCTGGTTCATCACGCCGCTCACGAGCTCAGAGAATAGCGAGAAGACCCCCAAGTTGTCGACGCGCACGCAGTGCCTGACCTCCTGGGGCGCCCTGCCAGGCGCGAACACGAGCGGTGGCCCATGGTCTGACAGACTGGGCCCCCTGAGGAGCGCGCTGCTGCGGCGGCTTACCTCCTCGTTGGCCCGCTGGGCGAAGTAGAGAGACCAGATGAAGCCCATGGGCAGGACCTGCCAGCAAGGGTAGATGGCCGTCGACGTCTGCACCTTGGCCCCCTCGACCTCGGTCACGCCGAAAGCCCCAGCCTTGACAGGCGGCAGGCAGAAGCATTGCGAGAGGGCTGAATCGATCCGCATTCGATGAAAGCAGTCCTTCACGTCCGCCATGCCGATGCACACCTGCTGCGCCTCCAGCGCGGCGCGGAGGTCCTCGTAACTCGAGAAGCCCGCGTCTGGCATGTGCACCTCGATTCTGGCGAGGCCCTCGCTGCTCAATAGCTCCACCCCAGGAGGATCCCTGAAGTGGGCGTTCGCACGGCGGGCGTCGACTATGAGGCGAAGTCGGCGCCGCCCATCCTTCCGCACAAAGAACATCCCAATTCTCTCTTTCGGTGTCAGAGTCCACCCCAGAATGCCAGCTGACAGCAGCCGACGCACCAGGCCGCGGTACTCCTTGTGGTTGAACTTGAGGACCGAGTCGAAGTACGGCTCGACGTCGGTCGGCAAAGGTGACTCTCGTAGCATGCGCTCTTGGCGCTCCCGCAGGAAGGTAAGGGCCTCGCCAGGCAAGAGGTCCTCAAGACGCGGGCAGTCGCTCACGTCCGTCGGCATGCTGACGAACCCTGCACTGTAGGAGGCGACCGTCGTCGGGCCGCCGCGCCCGTCATATGGCGAGCGGCCCCGCAGCAGCTCCCGGAGGGCCGCCTGCGGCTCCTGCAACCCGGCGTCCGGCTGCCGGCCCCGAACGAGGCCCTCGAAGCGCGCAAGTACATCCCGCTGCATGCCATTGGCTGGGCCAGGTTGCGAGTCCTACCCCGACGTCCAGTTGATGGCGTCGACGACCCCGTTGACCTCCAACGCAACCCGAGACTCACGACCGAACTGCCTCGCCCTGCTAGACCTGCCGCGAATTCGGCGGCCTGCGTCGCCCAGCAGCGGGAGCGGCAGAAAGCTGCGGGCTCCTCGCGAGGGCGGCAAGCGGCCACCGTCGCGCCCCGGCAAAAAGGGCCCGGGGGAGGGGCTGAAGCCCCCGGGCCCGGGGGCCGTCATGGCCCCGTGGAGGCGACGCCCCTGGCCCGGCCGCGCCCGCGGCCGCCTCGGCCGCCACCGCGCCCCGCACCTGCTGCGTCACCTCCAGCTCCTTCTGCTCCGTCGACTGTCTCTGAAGGCGCCCCGCGTAGCGTACGCGCCCGATTCTGCGCCTGCTCCATCTCGTGCTGCCCCTTCGCCCGCCGGTGGACGTAGCCCCTGAGCTCTGGCCCTGAGACGTCCTCCACCGAGCTCGCGCCCTCGAAGAAGCGTGCGTTCGTCCAGCTCGGCTTGGACGGGTCCGCGTAGGCATCCACCGCTGCGGCCACGCGGCGTGTCAACACCCCCACCATCATCAGGCCGCCCATGTTCAACTGGTCATATACCCCGCCCTGGTACAAGGCCTCCACGATAGTCCTCAGCTCGTGCACCACGCGGTCATTCTGCCCGAGGCCCTTCATGCGAATGAAGAGGTCGAGCCAGAGGCGCGGGTCGCCACCGTGCCTTTCCATGTGCTTGCACATGTGGAGAGCCCCAGGCGGTCCGTCCACCTTCGCGTCTGGGTAGCGCTCCTGCCTCGACTCGCCTACCACGTTCCGCCATCGCTTGAACCGCTCGCCCTGCTCGTCGTAGTCGACCCAGAGCGCGCGGGCGTCGGCGTCACGCTCCTCGCCCAGCGGCTCCGCCAAGGGCGGCAGCGCCAGCTCGGGCGTAGCCGCGCCGCCCATGGGCTCGGCGGGCTCCTCATCCTCGAGCGGCGCCGCGGCTGCAGCACGTCGGCGCTCGGGGCCCAGGGCACGCGCTTGGCCTCTGTCCAGGCCATGCCAGACTGCGGCCTCCTCGGCCACGCGCCCAGGGGCCGACCCTGCGCCCAGCCGGGCGAGACGCACTATGCCGCCGTCGGCGGCCCTCAGCACACCGAACGGCTCGGGCCCGTCCTCGAAGCTCAGGCCCTCGATATTCGCCACGTCGACCTCCGTTCCGATCGCAACGCCGGGCCCGCCGCTGAGGGCGATCCAGGCCTGACCCGCACCAGGAGCCTCCAGCAGCTTCCCGCCCAGGCGAGCCACGGCCATGCCCAGGCGCAGCAGGCCGGCCCGCTCCGCGGCCGACAGCTTACAAGCAGCCTCCTGCCAGGTGACCCGCTGGCCGCCCACGGCCACGGCCTCCCTCGGCTCAGGCAAGGCAGCGCCCATCTCCAGCGCCGCCTGACGGCCCCGCGTCAACGCGTCGGCCAGCTCGTCGGGCCCCAGCTCCTCACGGAAGCGATACAGCCTCCGCATCTTGCGCGTCCGCAGTGCCAGCGGGACGGCTCGGGCAGGCCCAGTCTCGGGGTCCCCACAGCTCATGTCCTCAGCGTAGATGTCACCATCTGGGGTCAGGACGACCCACTCGCCTTCCGCCACGTAGTGCAGCAGCACCCGCTCGTGGTCGACGTCGTCGTCGGCGAAACGGCAGACCACGTGCTCCCCTGGGAGCGCTCTAGTCCACCACTCCCGCCCCGCGTCGCCGCGGAGCCACCCCACGAGCGACGCCATGCCTGCGAGTGACCACCTTCGCCACCAGCCAGTGCACCAGGCCTCCAAGCAGCGCTCCAGCGAGCTTCTCAGCCGCCTTCTCGCCAGCCGACGCCCCCGGGCACGCCCTCGCCTCGCAGGCCGGGCAGGCCGCGCACGGCGGCGGCTCGCAGGCCGGGCAAGCCGCGCAGGGAGGCGGCTCGCAAGCCGGGCAGGCCGCGGCCTCCGGGCAGGCCGCGCACGCCGCCGCCTCTGGGCACGCTGGGCAGGCAGGGCACGAGAGGTCTGGGCAGGCCGCCTGCCCTGGGCCCCAGCCTGGCCCAAAGAAAGCCGCGGCCTCCAGCGCCAGCACCGCCCAGGCCGGCAACGCGGCCGCCCCGCCAGGGATGGCGACCGCGTCCATCGACTCTGGACCAGAGAAGCTCAAAGTAGGAAAATAGAGCCAGATGGCAACAGAGGCAAGAGGAAGCTCGCCAAAAACATGATATACCACGGCAGGGTTGCATCATCATCAAGAGGCGATTCATGCTCTGTGAAGCCAATGGGCGACAAACAGACAACAACTCGAGACTTCCTTCACGTGCAAGCACAAACCATTACGAAGGTTTTGGGCTCATTTTGTCCTTCGCAGGGGGCAGCTCTCATGTGCGCTTATGAGGAGGTCGCAAGAGGCCCCAAGATGGCCCCAAGAGGCCCCCAGGAGGCTCCCAAGAGGCCTCCAAGAGGCCCCCCAGAGGCCCCCAAGCGGCCCCAAGAGGCC